CATGCTGTCCATGGACGCGAAAAAAGTTTCCGTAGACTGCTGGCGCCAGTCGACCGGCGCCGTCTGTGTGCACACATGACGAACGAGGAGGCGGGGGGTACGACGTTGCACAACGCAATAATACATAAGCGTAAGGCACGACTGATGGGGAGACCATTTGCACACACAAATTGGGCGCCTAGTTTCCGTGGGAGCTGACATAGACGAGCTCTCGCTGTAGAACTACGCGACGTTTCATGCAACTCGATCCTCTCGGTGGAATTAAAAACCCCTCGGTGCAATTATTCGTGTGTCGGCGAAATTACCGCATGCGTTGATTGATGAGTGTACTACTGTAAGTAGACCCCAACAACTTATCTGCTGTGCTGTTGATTGACTGAAACCTCTAGCGACATTAGCATCTCACCGGCTCAACTGGCTGAATTGTCACCACCCTGGATCGGGTTCTCCCGACACCCCTCAAAGCCAGGATAACAGGGTCGGCGACGGCACTATCTGCTGTCCTGCTAACGCCTCCGCTGCTGCTGCCACCACCAGATCGCTGCTGCGCCTTTTGCCACTGCTCGCGCTTGTTCTTGAGGACCTTGTCAGTCAGCTCCTTGGCCCTTTCGCTGACCGCCGCTTCGGTGTTCTTCGCGTAGCCACTGTAGGTTTGTGAGTTCCTGTTCTTGTGCTTCGAGTCAACGAGTGTCGCGGTCACCAGCACCCCGCGTTCGGAGACAAGCCTCCAACTGAGCTTGACGACGTGCTTGTCTTTTCCAAGAAGGACTGCTGTGCGTTCACATCCCCCTGGTTGGTCACAGCCGCCGCTAGTCCAGCTGCCGCTGGCCCAGCTATGGCTGAGCTCATGATCGAGGCTCTTCCCACCTGAGTTTTGGTCTGACCAAGCTTCTGAGTGGCTCTACCCCCCCTAAATCGACCAAGCGGAAGCGATTGCCGAGGTGAACAGTTCAAAAATAGTTCGGGAATGCGGCGAAAAAAAAAATGAAGGGGTTCCCGAACCAATATTTTATTGTTCAACTTCTTAGACGTCGGTTTTGAGCGTTTCTAAGCGAAAGGAACAATTTTTATTTTGTTTTTTTTAGCTGTGGAGAGGGTATGTCGGTCAGTTGCGGATGGCGCCTGTAGATAAGAGATGGATTTGTTGTGTGATAATAAGAAAAACAAAAAAAAGATGTGGCGCGCTGTACGCAGGACCCTCTCTCGCTGTTCAACCGGCCGTTTCCATGTCGAAACAGGCAAGGAACAGTCAAGGCCGGCTCTTGCCGGCCACTGGAGACGGAAGCTGCTCAAACTCGGGGACGGCTAATGATTTGCGATTCGATACCGAACCATACTCAAAGCGCCACGACATTTGCACCGCAGCTCGAGATCAGCATTTTAGACTGGGTCGGACAAGGGGTGGGGCATGCGAATAAAACTTCACGGGTATTGAACGGTGAGACTGAAGCTAAAGCTTCAGAATTGTTCATCCAAACGAGCTTATATATTTTGGTCCAGAGGAAGTATAAAATATGAGTGCACTGAGGTCAGATGCCCCTGGCATTGTGTATCTGACCTGCACAAGACGGTGGTAATTCGGGATCGAAACTTCATCGAACATTTCACCTCGATTCCTTCATCGTAGCCACCCGGTGCCTAGTTTAACTTATCACATGGCCGTGAGCAAAGGCAACAAACAAGCAAATAGTGTAGCGCAATTGTCTCCCCCTCCCTCCTGCTGCCCTAAAAAACTACTTCAAAATCTTGCGCTGACGCCGTTTCTGCCAGCCGGGCAGCCATCAACTCATACTCACCAACTACGCTAATCTCGTCTGTCGGCTGTCAACAATTCTCGGCCCACACTGCGTCGCTAAAACAGCCTTCGATAGCACGCCAAGGGATGAGCAAACAAGCAACACATCAAACTGTATTTATTTCCTCTTGTGCCGCGAACCATGCAGCATCATCCCCCCCCCCCCCCCCCCCCCCCCCCCCCCCCCCCCCCCCCCCCCCCCCCCCCCCCCCCCCCCCCCCCCCCCCCCCCCCCCCCCCCCCCCCGCGCGCGAAGCATCCCACTCATTTTCGACGCTGCCTCTGGAAATTGCGTATTCCCCCCGCCGCCGTTCTTTTTCGTACAATCCCCCCCAAAGTATTTGCCGCGTAGGCCACATACACACGTGTGGCTAGGAAGAAACACCCGTAACAACCACCGCAGAACACAGGGATAACGGCGTTTGCGAGTCGACGCTTGCTTTACACTCACGCGAGCAAAGAGGAAGTCGAGTTCAATGTACGCGCCCACTTGAAGGGACAAGCGAGAGAGCTCGCTCTCTTAGCTTCCGGGCCAAGTCACCAGAATCTTTGGGTCAAGTCGCCAAAGCCTTCCAAAAGTGGAAAGCGTGAGTCCAAATGGCAGGCACCAAAAGGCGAGCACAACACCCGCACCCGCACGACTATAAAAAAAAAAAACAGAGACAAAAAAAAAGGGGCGGAGGGACACAGACCAAACGAAAGGAGAGGGGCAAAAGAGGAAAAGCCTGCCGAGACGTCTCATTTCTCCCCTTGATATACATGATGGTGCCGCGCAAATCGAGTTTTCACCTGCTTCAGCTACCAAAGTGCCTTCTTTTCTTTGCCCTCGCCGCCACACAAATGAACAGCCTCCCGAATCCCTCCCAAAACAACCACTCGGGATGATAACACCACGATACTTGCAGACGCATCAGCAAAGACAGCACTGCCTCCTCTACCCGTACGCTCAATTCTGATCTCCTCACAAATGTAACGTTTCTCGAAGCTCGGAGACACGATAATACTGCGGCCGGTCTCCCGCCAAACGGAATTGCATTCTTCGGGGGGAGCACTTCGGCGTAGACCAACGACCTAATAGCTCCATGTCCCCAAACACGCTCCGGGCAACAAGAAACAGAACGATTCGTTCAAGTGGTGGAAGGAACGTCCGCTTTTCCAACCTTCTATTGTAGTGACCACCTGAAAAAACAAACCTCACAAAAATAAAGAGATTTGACTGTCACCGATCCAGCAGCATCGTCATATGTATGGCATGGGAACCAGACATGTTGTCGTATTCTAACCGGAACGATGGACAGCACATCGTACTGGACCGTCAGGCTACTGGGGGGGGCGGGGGGGGGGGGGGGNGGGGGGGGGGGGGGGGGGGGGGGGGGGGGGGGGGGGGGGGGGGGGGGGGGGGGGGGGGGGGGGGGGGGGGGGGGAGGTACGGCGCATGGAGACGCTCAGTCACACGTCGGTTCTCCTGTCTGCCCACCCATGGCAATCGGAACGAATGTTTTTGCAAGCGGAGGAGTATCCGCACCCCCCCCCCCCCCCCCC